GAACAAAATCCCCGATGTGACCCAGGGGCTGCTCCACGAGTCACCCCCCATCCTAATGGAGGCAGCACTCCTCGCAGTGTCGCAGTGTCCCCAGGCTGTCCCCAGGGCCGGACTGGCACAGCCGGTGCTCGGGGGAACAGGTACAAACCTGGCGGCGCGGGCTTTGCTGCGGGATGTGAAACATCTGGAGCGCGGCGGCACAAGGCAGCCTTTGTGCAGCTGGGGAAGGCTGAGCCGGGAGCCAGCACTTGTTTGGGACCGCTTCAAGGAGAGGGGGAGGGAGGGAGGGGAGAAAAGGCCGGGGGGAAGCCGCCCCCGCTGGAGAAGGAATTTCAGCCTTTTCTCGGGTGTTTCCCACCTCGCTCTGCTCACACTGCAGAGCCCCCTCGGGTTCTCTGCGCCCCTTTCCCGATGGGAATYCCTCATTCCAGCCTGGCTGGGTCCAAGCCGCGTTAAGCAGCTCCGTGGGGCCGGTCCTGCCTGTATTAAATAATAAAATTCAATTTTTTGGATCCAATTTGCCTGTGGAAGGAGAATCGCCCCCTCCCCGCTGGCAGCGCTCCAGCCGAGGGGATGTTCCTCTCCGCGATTGTCGGATATCGCGATCTGAGCAGCGCTGACCGACTGGAAATAAAAAGGTTCGGTGTCCCTGAGGGATGGAGGTCCCGACAGAACCGGGAAAGAGGAGCTCAGGGTCCCCGGGCTCGTGGAGGCTCCCGAGGATCCCCGGAGACCCCGATGCTTCCCCTCAYCAGCTCTGCCTGAGCACGGATAACCCTGGAAATCAGAGTTCGGGAATTCCACACCTTTCCTGGGCTGGAGGAAAGGAATTGGGGTCCTGGAGGAGATGGGGGTCCCAATGGAGGTTGAGATCCCAGAAGAGCTTGGATCTTGGAGGAGCTGGGGGTCCCTGAAGGAGCTGGGGGTTCCTGGAGGATTTGGGGATCCCTGGAGGAGCTGGGGGTTCCTGGAGGATTTGGGGGGTCCCAATGGATTCGGGGGTCCCCAGAGGAGCCAGGGGTCCCAGTGAAGTTGGGATCCTGGAGGAGCTGAGGGTCCGTGGAGGAGGTGGGGGTCCCAATGGGTTTGGGGTTCCTGGAGAAGCTGAGGGTCCCTGGCAGAGCTGGGGGTTCCTGGAGGAGTTGGGGGTCTCTGAAGGAGTTGGGGGTCCCTGGAGGAGTTTGGATTCACTGGAGGAGCCGGGGGTCCCAAAAGATTTGGGGTCTTGGAGGAGCTAAGGGTCCCAGTAAGTTTGGGATCCTGAAGGAGTTGGGGGTTCCTGAAGGAGTTGGGAGTCCCTGAAGGAGTTGGGGATCTCTGGAGCAGCCAGGGATCCCCAGGACACCCCAGTTTGTGGCACATCCCCACCGCAGCCGTTACCAGCACCTCCCTCCATTGTTCCCCAACCGGCATTTTTCCCCATGACCTCATCTTTCCTTGGCTCCCGCTGGCGATTTTATGGCAGGGAAAGGATTTCYCAGCCAAAGCAAAGCAGATCCAGGGCTCTCTTCCCTCCCGTTTCCACCTGGGTTTGTTCCTGCCCCGGGCACAGCCGAGGGATGGTGTGGGATGAGCTGGGAGCTCGGCTCGGGAAGGTTTTCCCTGTTCCTGCACGAACACGAGAGGCACCAGACAGAGGTTTGAACAATTCCCCAYAGGATCCAGGCCTGGACACAAAAGCCTTTCAGTTATCATCAGCATTTTGTAAGATTCTATTAAAATAAACCTCCAGGCTCCGTTTCCTGCTGCCGAGATCCCCCTGGTAGGRTTATGAGGCACAAAAAGCATTTCCCAGAAATCCCAACCAAGGTTGTACCAGGAATGTTTTCCTCCTGTTCTCACACAAACCCTCCACGCTGGAAAAGCCTCAAAATAAGAAATGAGCCCTAAAATGGGAGCTGGGAAAKCTGCAGATCCCACGGGGGGTGATTTCCTCTCTTTTCCCATTTGAAGAAAACCTTTGGGGTGAAGAACTGGAATTGGAATCCTTCTCAGACCGCTGGGATTTCACCTTTCCACACAACTCCTAAGGAACAGGGGAGAAAACCCCTCTGAGATGGCTCAGGAATCCTTCCACAGCSGCTGAGCAGTGAAAGTGGAGGATTTTAAGGAAAACAACCAAGAAAAAGGGAAGCAGGAGCTCATCCATGACTGCAGCCCCAGGAATCCCACACGGACACGAGCACAGAGCTGTTCCAGGGCTGGTTGACCATGCAAGACTAAACAAACCCGCTGAGGGAGAGCCAATAAATACCTAAAATATAGCTGGTGTTAAATTAAAACTGGGGATGGTTCAGCCTGGAGAAGGGAAGGCTCTGGGGAGAGCTCAGAGCCCTTTCCAGGGTATAAAGGGGCTCCAGAGCTGGAGAGGGACTGGGGATGGAGGGACAGGACACGGGGAATGGGGTCACACTGCCAGAGGGCAGGGATGGATGGGATTTTGGGAATTGGGAATTGTTCCCTGTAGGGTGATGAGGAGCTGGGATGGAATTCCCAGAGGAGCCCCTGGATCCCTGGAATGTCCAAGGCCAGGCTGGACATTGGGGCTGGGAGCAGCCTGGGACAGTGAGAGGTGTCCCTACCATGGGATTTGGGGTCATTTCCAACCCAAACCATTCCGGGATTCTCTGAAATCTCCTCTACAAACTCAACAACCCCACAATACCCTGAAAAAGGGACACTCTGAGCCCAAACCCCTCAGGCTGGTCCCGGGGGTGGGGGTTCACCCTGGCACTGGCAGAAGGATCGTGGGGTTGGGGCACCCAGGAGGAGCCGCGGATGGGAACGGGAGTGCTCAGCTGCCAAACCCCGCACAGGGAGCGGGAATCATTTGGGGATTGTTCCCGTCCCTTCTGTGCAATCCAATCCATCCCATCGCTGSTTTCCCGTTCCCTCCCCGCCGTGACTCAGGTGCGCGCATCCCGAGCGGCTCCAACCGCGCTGCCCGCGGGGCCCATAATGGGATTATTGTTCCTTTGCGTGCGAAGCCCTCGCTCGGGCTGGGTGTCCCCGCCCCGCCCTGCAAACCGCAGCCGCCTGCGCCTTCCCAGCCCCGGCACGGGCCGGGCTCGGCGGGCACCCCCGACAGCCCATTCCTGCGCCCTGAGTCACCGCCGGCAGCGGCGGGCACCGGGCAAAGGCTGCGGGGGTCACCCGGTGCCAGCCCTGCCCAGACACCGCCACSGTGCCACCCTGGGCATGGCAGAGGTGTCCGAGGGCTCCTGGAGCTCTGGCAGCCTCGGGGCTGTGACCATTCCTTGGGGAACCTGGGCAGTGCCCCAGCACCGTCTGGAGGAAAAACCTTTCCCAAAAATCCATCCCAACCCCCTGTCCCAGCTCCAGCATTCCCTGGGTGCTGTCCCCGTCCCAGAGAGCAGTTCCTGCCCCTCCAGGAGGGAATTTCCCTGTCCTGGGTGCTCAGACATGGCAGGGACACCTTCCACTGTCCCAAGGTGTTCCCAGCCCCGTGTCCAGCCCGGCTTTGGGCACTGCCAGGGATCAGGGGCAGCCACAGCTGCTCTGGGCACCCCGTGCCAGGGCTGTCCACCTTCAGAGCCAGCAATTCCTGCCCAAAATCCCACCCAAATCTGCTCTCCTGCACCTCAACGCCATCAGGGAGGGAGAAGCCCCGAGCTGGGCACTGCACACACCATTAATGCACCCCATTAATGCCCTCTGCAGAATCCCAAATAAGATAAATGCCCATACAGTGCCAGTTCCCTGCTGCCTCTCCACCCTCCGCTTCAGACCGAATTACAGCCCAGCTCATCCCTCCTGGGCAATCTCCACCATCTCCTCACCAGCCCCTGATGGTCCCCATCCCACAGTTCAGCCCCTGAAATACAAAAAAAACCCCAACAATAAAAGCAGGAGGATCCACCCAGCCCTGCATTCCTGGGCTTCTCCTCAGCCCCTGCRCTTGGCAGAGCCCTGGCAGCACCGAACCACTCCCGGTGCCAAGGACTGACACCCCGGGGCTGGGAGGAACTGGGGGTTTTCCCACTSTTTTCCCATTCTCAGCTCAATTCCCGGATCATCCCCTTCACCAGCGGGGCTGCAAAACCACAAAACACCCAAAAAAGCAGCRGCAGGAGGGAGAATTTTCCCTCTGTGCTCACCATCAGCGTGGGCRCTGCCATCCAGGGGGTTCACCCCGTGTTCCAGAGCGGGGACACAGCGTGGGGACAGCTCCACCGACATTCCCTGGGATGGGGAGGGACCAYCCCAATCCCAAAATCCCAAATTCCAGCCATGGGATCATTTCCTCTCTCCCCCCAGCTCCTCCAGCCAAAGAGCAGAGCTCATCCCACGTTCCAGGTTCTGTCCGGGTGTTTGTATTCCCTCTGATCCCAAAATCCACCTTTCCGTGGACATTTTTTGTTCTCAGGGGGAATTTCAGGCCTGAAATCCGCCARGATTTCACTCACACCAAGGAACGGGGAGATAATTTCATTCCCCTCCGGGAAACAAACAGAAAAAAAGGGATTTTCCTCCGTGATTTCTGCATCTCCCCCTCCCCTCTCCTTCCCCAGGGCTCCATCCTGATCTGGACTGGCTGCACCCAAGAAGGATTAAATGCTTTATGTGGCATTATCTCCCAGAAATCTCATTACAAGGCTGCCTTTAACTGTCTAATGGGTTTTTTTTTTTTTATTTTTTTGTGCCAGCTGACACCACACGCCAGGAATTAAACCAGAAAACATCCCTGACAGGCTGCACAATCCCACTCCACGGACACGCCTGGGGATTTGCAGGATTTTGAAGCTTTTGGCTGCAAACAGATGGCTCAAAGCTCTCCAGMCCTGCAGTTCCAGGGATGCACAGCCAGGAATGTCTGGATGAAATTGCCTTTCTTTGATTTTTTTCCCCCATTTTTCCCATCCCCAAAAAGCTGCTTTTCCAGCCACGAGGAAAGTCAGGAAGCTGGAGAAAGGAAAAGCAGCAAAGCAGAGGGAGGAAAACAAATCAGTGGATTGACAGCACCAAAACAACTCCTTGCAAACTCCATTTCCCATTTATTGAAAGCAATCACAGTTAAAAGGTCAAATCCATTGGCAAACAGGAGCTTCGGATCATCCAGAGGGACAGACAGAGGAAATCCATCCAAAAAAAACCAAAACAAGGACCCAACAAAAAGGGACAGCTCCAGTTTGGTTTATTCCAACCTGTTCCCTTTGGAAGGGGGATTTGGGATGTTCCAGCCCCATTTCCAGAGGGATTGAGCAGCAGGTGATGCAGTTATTCCCTCTGGAGGGTTCAGGGAAGCCCTTTGTGCTGGAGATTTTCCAAATTCAGCCATTCCCTCCTGCCTGGAGGGTTCAGTCAATCCTCGGTGCTCAGGAGGATCCATCCCACCAGGAACGCTTGGAAAGCACCAGGGGAAGGAYCAGGAACCTCCACGTGCTTTTCTGGCATTCCAGAAAAAATTAACTCATCCCGAAGAATCCATTCATCCCGAGGAATCCATTCATTATGACGAGAGCTCCCGGAATTCCTGGGAATTCTCCGGAATTGTGGCTCGGCTCCCGCTCTTTCCCAGGTGAAGTGTGACCAGGACAAACCCAGAATGGCTCTTCAGGGAGCTGTGGATCACTGGAAGCAGCAGCTGGAATTCATGGAATTGCATCCCATGCACAGCACCGACACCGTGTCCTAGAAAACACCCCAATCCTCCTTTCCTGGCTTTTTTTTGTTTTTTTATAGAAAACCCCAGGAATATTGGAGCAGTGGCCCTCTGAGATAAAATCAGGGAAAAAAAAGACATTTCCCTCTTGCAGAGATGCCAAGAAAATTCATCTTTATTGGCTTGGACTGTTTGCACCCATCAGAACCAACTCCCTGCAGCATTCCCGAGGAGCAGCAGGAGGTGGGAGAGCTGGGATCCCACAGCTCATCACAGCCCCAAAAAAGGCTGGAATTCCAGACTCTACCAGGAGTTTATTCCGTTCCAATCCTCGGTTCTTAACCCCAGAGGAGCCTCCACAGGGGCAGGGAATTCCTGAGCTCTGACAGAATCCCAAAAACCTTTCCTTGGAGAATCCAAGAGAAAAACCAACCCCGGATTGGGAATTCCTGAGGTCTGACAGAATCCCAAAACCTTTCCTTGGAGAATCCAACGTCCCCTCCAAGAGAAAAACCAACCCCGGATTGGGAATTCCTGAGCTCTGACAGAATCCCAAAAACGTTTTCTTGGAGAATCCAACGTCCCCTCAAAGAGAAAAACCAACCCCGGATCGGGAATTTCTGAGTTCTGACAGAATCCCAAAAACCTTTCATTGGAGAATCCAAGAGAAAAACCAACCCCGGATTGGGAATTCCTGAGCTCTGACAGAATCCCAAAAAGCTTTCCTTGGAGAATCCAAGAGAAAAACCAACTCTGGATCGGGAATTCCTGAGCTCCGACAGAATCCCAAAAACCTTTCCTTGGAGAATCCAAGAGAAAAACCAACCCCGGATCGGGGAGGACCCAGCCCCGGTTGTGCTTGGAAACCATCGCCAGGGGAAGTACAAAATCAGAGGAAATCAACACCAAACCAGATCCCAAAAAAAACCTATGTACAAATGCAGTCCTGGAGCAGATCCCGATCCTGATCCGAGGGCTCCTATCCCAGCCCCACATCCAGGGACATCATCACCACAAAGCCCAGGATGGAGGTCCACGATGCCAACTTCCCGTTGCCACTGGGGAGAGAGGGGACAGGGGGACGATGSGGGGAGGGAAGGGATGATCCTGTCCTGTCTTGATGGGGGAGGGACATTCCTAAGTCCTATATGGCCAAGGAAGGGACATTCCCGAGCTCCCATATGGCCTGGGAAGGGACATTCCTGAGTCCCCATATGGTCAGGAAAGGGACGTTCCCAAGTTCCCATATGGCCTGGGAAGGGACATTCCTGAGCTCCCATATAGCAGGAAAGGGATATTCCCAAGTCCCATATGGCCAAGGAAGGGACATTCTCAAAGCCCCATATGGCCAGGAAGGGATGTTCCTGAGTCCCCATATGGCAGGAAAGGGACGTTCCCAAGTTCCCATATGGCCAGGGAAAGGGATGTTCCCGAGTTCCACCCATATAGGCAGGGAAAGGACATTGCAGAGTCCCCACAGGCCAGGAAAGGGACATTCTCAAAGCCCCATATGGCCAGGAAGGGATGTTCCTGAGTCCCCACAGGCCAGGAAAGGGACATTCCCAAGTTCCCATATGGCAGGGAAAGGACACTCCAGAGTCCCCACAGGCCAGGAAAGGGACATTCTCGAGTCCCTGTCCAGCCAGGGAAGGGACATTCCCATGTCCCCCTGCCCATGGAGGAGCAAAGGGCTGCTTGTGTCCCACCCAGCTAGGGAAGGGACACAATGGGGACATTCCCAAAGCCCCATATGGCCAAGGAAGGGACATTCTTGGGTCCCTGTCCAGCCAGGGAAGGGACATTCCTG